GCGTCCTTGGAGAGTGTCTATTCAGGTCCTTTGCCCATTTTTTAATTGGATTGTTTGTTTTCTTGTAGTGGAGTCATGTGAGTTCTTTATATATTTTGGAGATCAAGCCCTTGTCTGAGGTATTATTGACAAATATATTTTCCCATACGTTTGGTTCCCTTTTCATTTAACTGCTGTTTTCTTTAGCCGTGCAGAAACTATTTATTCTGATGAGGTCCCATTTGTTTATTCTTTCCTTTATGTCCCTTGCTATAGGGAACACATGGGTGAAAATATTGCTGTGTGGAATACCTGAGATTTTTCTGCTTATGTTCGTTCTCCTCTAGGACTTTTATGATGTGACTTTATTTAAGTCCTTTATCTGCCTTGAATTTATTTTTGTGTATGGTATAAGTTGGTGGTTGACTTTCATTTTTTCCCCATGTAGCTGTCCAGTTCTCCCAACACCATTTGTTAAAGAGGCTATTTTCACTCCATTTTATGCTTCTGCCCGCTTTGTCAAATATTAATTGACCATAGAGACATGGGTTTATTTCTGGGCTCTCTATTCTGTTCCATTGGTCTGTGTCTGTTCTTATGCCAGTACCACACTATTTTGATTACAGTGACCTTGTAATATAGTTTGATAGCAAGTATTGTGATCCCTCCTACTTTGTTCTTCTTTCTCAAAATTGCTGTGACTATTTGGGGTTGTTTATGGTTCCATATAAATTGATAAATTTTAAAATGTGATTAAAGTCATTAGACTTTAAAGATATTATAAAGTATTAAATTATATTTCTGAAGAAATAGGACAAAGATATAGAAGAGTTGAGAAAGAAGTGAGGTAATATTTATTAATTACCTTCTATCTTGTAAGCATATTACATAATTTCTCTTTTAATTATCAGCAACAACTCTGTGAACAGGATATTCTCATTCCATTTTTGCAAATGAGAAAACAGACTCAAAGTGTAAGGAAATTGCCCAAATTCACATGTACTTGGTAAGTACCAGAGTCAGAAAAGAAAATTATTTTATTTGGGGCAGAGGGGAATGTATCTTCTAGGCTTACACATCATAAAATGATATGACATAATATATTCCAAAAATAACTTTCCAAATATTGTTATTGAAGTAGTCATAAGTCACTTTTAACAAAACATTTTCTCACTCTGTCTGGGTGGCTTAGTTGGTTGGAGCATCAGCCCCCAACACCAAAAGTTTGCAGATTTGATCTCTGGTCAAGGCACATATGGGAGGAAACAAATAGATGTTCCTGTCTCTCTCTCTCTCTCTCTGTCTCAAAATAACAACCACAAAAACAAAAAAGAACTTGCTTGGTGGATTTGCCATAATCAGAAAATTGTGATGTGTCAAACACAGTGAGCTCGAGGTTGGTCTTGGCTATCTTGTTCTTCAATGAAGAAATAGTCAAAACTAGCCATACACCTACAATGTATATTCCAGCAGGGAAAACACAGGTCTATACCTTTTATTCATGTCTACTTTGAAGCAACAAGGAGTCATATGTTATTCACTTTGATGGCATTTCTAAGGTGATTCTATTATCCTATAATCCAGTTTCATGTGGAAGAGTCCAAGTAGCTGGAAGAAAAACATTGTACATTTGTTCTTCTTTTCTTCATTCTTCTTCCTCTTTTCCTCTTCCTCCTCCTTCTTTCTCCTTCTTCTTCTCTTCCTGCTCTCCTCCTTCCCCTCCTCCTCTTCCTCCTCCTTCCTCTTCTTCCCAGTGATTATATGCTTATAAACTAAGGGACAAAATACACACCTATAAAACAAAATCAACTAAGGAAGCACACAATACTCATTAATCAATGATGTAAAGAAATCACGTCATTTACTTTGGGTTATATGAGTCAGATTACTGGCTGATGGAAGAAACCAATTTGTACAAAGATCTCTGGGCTTTTGTTTCTTCATGTGCAAGATTAAGCCTCTTCCATGACTAAAGAGGATCTAAGATTGTTTATAGCTCTAGGAAATGTGTTCTTTAGGGTTTAAAAGTTCTCTGGTTCTCAATAGATAACATTTCAGAATAGAATCTTCTCCAGTTATGGGAGTACACAGATTATAAGAGGAGTGTGCATTCTTGCTGCATACCTGTCATTACTAAAAGAGCACAATTATCAACCTCTGAAGCATGGGTAAGTGGATTTGATGTAAGCAACCTCATGCCAAGTGCTGAGGTGTAATGAAACATTATATAACTCAGTAATGAGAAGAGGAAAAAAGTTATCAATGGGAGGAGAATGAAAAAAAAACCACCCTGTTTTTAATAATAAAAATTATAGAAAATGGAGCTTTTAAAAAGTTTAATGAATTAAATTGAAGGGAAATATCCAGAAAACACAAAGCCAGTTTTTATAACAAAAACAATATGGACATTTATTTATTTACTTATAGTGAGAGGGGAAGGAAGGGAGAAAGAGAGGGAGAGAAACATCAATGTGTGGTTGCCTTTCATGCACCTTCTACTGGGGACCTGGCCTGCATCCGGGGCATGTGTCCTGACTCGAAATCGAACCGGCGACCCTTTGGTTCTCAGTCTGCACTCAATCCACTGAGCTATACCAGCCAGGGATGATATAGCAATTTATAGAATTTATACTTTTATATGAATATTACTAACATGTCCCAGATCATCTTCTTTGTCATTTAAACTATTCTCACTTTTAAATAAATGATGTATATCACCCACAAATTCCCAAACAAACAAAAAAAATCTTTAACTCTCAAACACATTTCTGAGGTTAAAACACAAATCATTTTCTAAAACAATGCATAATTTTCAAGTCTCCCCAGGACCAAAATGAAAGTTTTCAGACACTCAAGTGGTTTAGGTTATCCTTTTATAATGTTTAAATATTTGCATCTTTGACAGCAAGAAATTCCTAAAAGTTTCTCCATCAGTAAATCCTCACCTAATGCATTTCCTTACAGCATATTAAAAAGAATAATGCTGTTTAACACTTTGAAAATTGAACAAAGAAGAAGTAATTGCATGAAGGAGCAGTGGGCCTAGAGACCAGTGGATTTGACCATGGCCTTAGTTCAGGCAATTCACTCAGCCCCCTGAGTTTTACCTTCAACCTCATGATCTGTCTGTTTTTTCTTTGTAAATTTTACCAATTTTCATTGCTACCAAAGAATTTGAAAATATAGAAGAAGAGTTTTTTAAAAATGTATATATATAGTTTATAGACTTGAAAGTCTTCAAATATTCAGTATAAATAGTCATTAATTTTGGCAAAGATGTGTCAAATGTTCTTAATGAGATTAAAACAGATGTGATATTAATGATTAGTAGGCAAAACAAGTCTTCCTAACTGTTTGCCAAGCCATCAAAAAAAATTTCTTCTTTCTCCACCCTCTTACATACAATAATTTTTGTATAACTATATTGTAGCACTTATTTGGCTTTGATTTATATTCTTAGGTATCTTTCCAGTTAAAATGTTTGCACCCTGAGGGCAGGACCTGTACTGCAGCCTTGTAAGGATCTCTTAAAGTGTGTCTGTCCTTGGTAAACCTTGTGGGCGAATAAATAGCACAAAAATTTCCATTTGCTTCTCCCCCATTTAGCAACTTCCACCTCCCTCTTTTTCCTTGTCTTTGAAATGTAAGTGTAATATTTGCCCAGGGCAAACAGACTTGGGAGGCAACATTGCATAATGAACTTAAAAGTCAGCCTTGGTTTTTAACTCTTTGCTCCCTGATTTATTAGCTCTTTGACCCTGGGAAAATTGCTTAGCTCCTTTAATTTCTTCTCTGTAACATGAAGATAATAGGTTCTACTTTATGAAGTGTGCAGATGAAAGGAGATCATGTTTTAAAGACTTTAGCAGGAGATCATGTTGTAAAGACTTGAGGCAGTCTCTAGCCTAAAGCACCAACCACATTGCACAACTCCAGGGAATGAATTATAGTGACCTTTGTTCTCTCCTAACTAGCAAGCAACCCTTCAGAATAACAACCTATTGAAGCTCTTTTGCCCTAGGACCATTATTGGTTTTCACCAGGGTTGCCTTGCTGTACTACTTGAGCACACGTGCTTGAGTTTATTCTCCATGTAATAGCTGAGTCACAAAAGTGGGGGAACCTCTCGTGGACCTGCTCACTAAATTTCCACCAGGTTTCTGCATTTGCTGCTGGAGAGATGGCTCAGGGAACTATGGCGTCACCCTTGTCTTGTATTTCCAGTACTTCCTCCCTCCACCTGGATTTCTTGTGTATGTAAGCCAGTTATGAGCAGCAAACACACTTCTAAAAATCTATGAAGCAAAAGATGGCAACATCTTCTGCACATGATCAGCATTTTCAAATCAGGTCACATATAGCTCCCTTTGAAAGGCAGAATTTAAAAAGGGATGAACAAAATGCATACTTCATGAGGCCAAGTGAATGTCCTCTCCTGTAGAAGCAAATACACACTTCTTCCTTTTCCTTTAAGGAAGCCAGATTCTGATTCATTTTTTTTTTGTTCAAGACTCAGCAGAAACATAATGCTTTATTATTTTATAGAGGCTTATTACAACACGATGACAGCAACTATAATTTCCTTCAGGGGGAAGTGCGCCACTTGGCTTTAGGCCAGCGAGGCTCAGCGTCATTCAGCAGTTCTGTACCTTCTGACATAGGCAAATACTTTTACGTTTAGGTTTTGTATTCTTTTAGGAAGGATTTTTTAAAACACTGTTTTAACAGCACCTAAGTAGAAGCAGCAGGTGGATTTTGCATGTGAACCTGGTGTAGACATTCACATAGTCTGTAAGTGATTGCAAGTGACTATACTACTCACTTTTCCTGAGCCTGACACAGTCATAAAATCAGTTTGGTGTGCAGAGGGCCTGGTGGTTCTCTTGTCAAAGGAAACCTGTAATTGTAACATTCCTCCTGGATTTCATCATTTACATAGACCTGAAAAATATTTCCTTGTTTTTTTTTCCAGGTATGTGATCATTCTTGCTGTTTACTTCGACGTTACAGGCAGTTAAGTGAAGATCCGAGGGAACTAGCTAAGATCTAAAGCTAGGAATACTTCATATTTTTGCCCATTAAAAAAAAGAAACAAAGATTTTTCAGCAGTCTTCTGCCCTGCCCTCCCCTCCTGTCTCTTGTTATCGCTGTGGACTTCTGCCCCAGGGAACTGCGTCTCTACGTAGGAGTTGTGTAATCCTTTCTTCCGAGAACTACCTGAGTGCTTACACATAACGCTCACTTCCTACGTGGACAGGCACAGTGGCTGCTTTGTGACTAGTCCTGCAGTCCAACAGGAGACACGATGGAGAGGGTGAGAGGAGGAATCCTTGGTGGCAAGCACAGCTGGGTAGCAGGGCTTTGATCCAACAGCAAAGCAAGGGTGGAGCATATTGGAGTCATCTCACTCTCCATAGCAATCTGACATGACTTGCTGTGACTACTTCCAAAAACTTCCTGTTTTCTGCTTAGATTGTTGTTGGCATGTGGATAGAAAAATGAGAGGTCTACGAGAAAAGACAAAGTATTTGCTTCTTCATCCATTTACTAACTATAAATGCAAATATTTATTACCTGCTCTTTATGGGTCAGTCACTGTGCTCAATCTGTTACATGCATATTCCCATCTCTTAATTCTTACAATAATCATCAAGTAGGTAAAATTCAGCCTCTGTTCAGCAGTGGAGGAAACTGAGCCTTTGGAGAGGTTAGGAAACTTGCCCAAGGTCACACAGTAAGAGGCAAAGCTGGGGCTTTATTCTGATGTGATGTCAAGGGTGTGCTCTTAACCACTGTGCTATACTGCCTCCCTGTGTTAACATGCTTTATCTTTTCTACCCAGCGCCCTGGAAGATAAGTAGAAGATAAGAAACCTGCTAGATGACTGAAGGTACTCTAATATGCATTTGCCATTACATTAATACTATATCATTATGGAATGGTATGTTAAATTGTTATGTTTATATGAGACTACTGGGAAACTTAAGTAGGCTTCAGAACAAATGTAATTCAAGCTGTTTGATCTTTAAAATATGATTATAATGATCTCTTTCTGTTGGACTCTGTCTGTCTGTCTCTGGTGTTCTGAAGTGATCTTTTGTTTTGCATGAACAGTTGTTACTGAGCAATACCAGCTGCAGGAAAACAATTCATGGCATTACCGCTCCCCCTCCCTTTCCTCCCCACAACCTCCGGTCCTGGCATGCGCTAATATTTTGAATGAATGTGATTGACAGAGACGGGAAGCTCTCCCATTTATTCCTCTTATAAAATTTACTGAAGCACAAGCTTCTCCAAGAGAAGTACCAGCATTGTATCTGGTTCAGACACAAACCTTCAGGGAAGAAAATGCTGCCAATAGAATTTGGAAGCTAGAGAGGCAGAAGGAGGAGGAGCACATTTGGGAATTTTGAGCACTCTCCTATTTTTGGTGCCCTGAGGGATAGTTACATCTCAAAGCACAAATTAGAGGAAGGACAACTTCTTCGATTATATAATGCCCTCTGTTAGACACATCAGATTTAGGGTTGGTCTAATTTACTCTGACTACTCATTTCTGAAAATTGCCTCTGGGATGCCAAATCTGCCCTTAAATTAAGCCTTTCCCTTAGTCCACATTCCGTGTGAGAGAGTATGTTCAGATAACTGAAATCTGTATGTATTCTCCAGATCTGGAGGTTCTCAGTCTTCTGTGTTCGTAGTCCACTTTAAAGTGGTAGAATTATTGGCAATCTCAACGAAGGGCCTCAAAGAACCAAAACATACCACCATCCCCATTACAATAAAACAGTGTCTCATGGTGTCCATACAGGTAGCTTCAACAAGGGCAGGGCTTATGTGCTTATCTTTCCATGCCCTGTCTGGTGTGAGGACAGCTATTTATTACCCTTACCTTGATGTCTTATATGTCTACACATTTCAGAAAACATACAGTCTTTCTGTGTTGCTGGTCCTCTCTTATGCCACAGCTTTTATCTCTGAAAGATGAACCCTGCAGACCTCAGTAATAGTATGTATACTCATTTGAGGCAAAGATGCATTTTACAAAATTTGGTAAAGGGTTGAGATGCCGGGGTGCCATAACAAACTGTTAGAAAACCACTGTCTCATGTACCTCAAAATTAAATCACAGTAAAAGGAAGAGCAGATGGCCCTACGTCTGCTGTTTGAAAGCAGACCATTAGCCTTCTCCTAGTGGGGTGACATTGCTAGGTTGCTTTTTTGAGTTAGTGATGTTCTGAGTTGGCTGCTTTGGGGAACATACGGACATGAGGTGGGTTGGTGAGGTCTGGACAATGAGTCAAGAATTTCAATGGGTTCTTATAGTTTGATGGTTTAGAGGTAGATACATGGAAAATACAATTAAATACATGTACTTAAAAGTTGGCACTAGTTCAGTATTAAAGTATCAGATTGGCAAGTGCCTGCCATGCACTTAAAGAAGCTTGTGGAATTATCACTCTGTGTTCAGAATTACCCGAGTGATGTAAGAAAGATTAGACAAGTTTGTTTTATTCCTATGCACATTAACTTAGGAATTTGACTGGGAAACTTGCCTTTTTTTTCTTAAAACAAATATCTAAAGTTGATATTATTTAAATATGGAAGAGTTCATTCTCTTCAACTTTCTTCGTATTGTAGCCAAATTATATCCTGGGTAGTTTTGAGAAATGGGCCCAAAAGAGAAGGGAGGCATAAAACCCAACAAATTTCATTCAGAGTGAATGATGTGCTTAATGCTAATATGCAGCATGACTAGGTTTAAAATATTCACATCAGGTACCAAGTCTGTATTCCAGGCTCTAGGGGTGAAACACTGAACCAGACAGATGTTCTGCTGTTGTTGATCTTAAATTTTTCTGGGAGAGGCAAATGATAAACAAGTATATAAAGAAATATTAATATATAAGATATTAGGGAAGAATAAAGAGTTATGGGGTAGGAAGGGAGCCACGAGTGCCAATTCATAACGGGTAATTAGGGAAGAAATTGGAAGCAAACATGAAAGCAAGCAGAGGCTTGAAAAGTACGTGTGTTTCCTCTTTGTGCTTTGCGTGATTGGTTGTATCCTCTCTTTCATCTCTGCCTGTCGTGACAGCATGCCCAGGCTAACCTACTTCAGATGTGCGAGAAAAATGTGGAGAAGAGCCAAGACCATTTAAACCAGCTGAGGGCCAGCCAACTCCCCAACACGTGAGAATGCTCAGCTAAGATCAGCTGAAGTGCCTCCCTGATGCATATTTCTGACTCCAGACACATCAGTGACTCCGGCTGGGACCAGGAGAGCCACCCTGCTGACCTTATGAGCAACTATAAATGGCTGTTGTTCTAACTAAGCCTCACAGTTAAGGGATGATCTGTTATGCAGCCCCATTGTGGCATAGTGTGTGTTACAGACACTAGTGGTTCTTCCCGGTGTGGCCTGCCTTCCTCTCTAGCTTCATGTCCTGCTACCCCAAAGCACTTTAGGCTCCAGGTACTTGATTTACTTGAATTCCTGAAATGGGACATGGTGTCTTATGCCTTTTGATATGCTAGCCTCTATTTCTGAAATGCATTTCATGAGCAGATCTCCTGGACTACCGTCCTTTCAAGGCTCAGCTCAGGTGCTGCTCTTCTGGAAAGTCACCCTGCTGCCCCAGGCTGGGTTAAGAGCTCCTTCCTCTGGCCTGTGTGAGCACCTCTAGCACAGAAGGGCACACACATGACTCCAATTTAGTGGGCTAACTTTTCTCTCTCCCCCATTAGCAGAAGCTTCCCAAGGCAGAAACTCTGTATTCTCTGTACCCTGAATACAGTGTTTGGCACAAAATAGAACCTCCACACAAACTCGTAAGCTTAATAAACACATGTATTTACCTTAATGTAACAGAGTTTTAAGTATCATGAAGGAGAAATTACTAAGAGAACAGGGAAGGTTTCTGAGAAAAGGCAGAATTTGAAATGCCTTTTAGATTGATTGGTGGAGATGGTTTGGGAGGTGAAGAAGATTTCAGGCAGAAGAAACAGCCATGAACAATGGCCAAGTGGGACACTGGTGGCTGGAATGTCCAGTATGATTGGAGTGGAGGATTCATGAGCAGGCATGATAAGGGATGGGACCACTTTGTGGGGCTCAAATAACATATTAAGGCATTTGGGCTTCATTTTGCAGGGGAGTGATTCCATAAGAACCATATTTTTATGGATTACCTTGGAAGCAGTGTGTAAGGTATACTGGGGGTCAGAATAGAAAGAGACTGGTTATGTGAAATCATCTCTTGGCTTTTGGAACAATTCAGACAAAAGATAATGGTGATAGTGCAAATCTGCAAGAATATATAGGATATAGTAACCATGTGTGGGGGTTTAGAGAGGGGAGATAATTGAAGATGGCTTGTAGAGTCCTCTTCTAATGTTGGGAAAAGGAACAGACTTGGCAGCAATGTTAAGTCCAGTTTGGACATACTGGGTTTGAGATGTATATGGGTGGAGATCTCTAGCAAGTCATGAGAAATGTGACCTGGAGCTCAGATCAGAACTGGTACATGTGGGGATCTTTTGTCTGCAAAAGAACATATAGCCCAGGGATATGAGAAGGTCAAAAATAGATCAATCCATAATACCTGTATTCCTAAGACAAGAGAAAGTGGAGTCAGCAAGGAAGACAGAGTTAGAAGGAGAAACTAGAGTCAGGTAGGAGAGATGGTCAACAGTGCAAAGGAGGAGACTAACTGGATGAAGTACCAGTTTCAGAGATAGAAAGATAAACCAATAGAAATGAGGGCTGAGGAGAGACTAGTGAATTTGATCATTAGACGGATGTTGAGACAGTGTCTTTGAGAAAAGAATGTTTTGGTCTATAGTTAATGGGGTTTGAGGTCAAACTGCAAGAACTGAGTTGGGTTAAATGAGGAAGTAGAGGCAAAAAGTATAGATTCCAAGAGATTTATTAAAGAGAATGAAATAGTAGCTGAGGGTTGAGAGAAGACATTTATACGACTTGGGCATTTGTGTAGATAAATGGGTGAGGGTGGGTGAAGTTGGAGTAAGGGGTAGCTCAAAAGCTTCCAGAGAAAGTGGGAAAAAGCAGAAATGAGAGCCCATAAAGGAAGGTTTGCCTTTAGCAGGGAAACTACTTTTTTTTTGAGATGGAAAAATAAAAGGGGAACATTTACCTCCACATTATGAGGGGTAGCCATGGTGGCACACAGTCCATTTCTAGGCCATGCTCACAGAGGTAGAATATCAGTATACATGACCAGCCACATGACACGTTATGGCATTGTCATTTCTTAACTTCTTATCTTAGAGGTCAAAGCATTTAAAAAACTAAATGTTAGTATTTTAATCTCTTCAATAATCTACTTGTTTATATGACCAAGAAATGTCAGACTGCTAAGAGGTTAAAAAAAAAACCCAAACAAAAAAACTCTCCAAAGTACATGGTTTTCTAAAGGGAAGGAAATGAAGCATGTGATATTTATCAAATGCTTATTAATCCATTATTAACCAGTTTTTTATGTCTACAAAATTTGGGGGTAACCAGAATAGATAGTAATTTTGGTATAATGTAGATACGACTTTTATATGCTCTTTAAGCTAATCATTCCTTTATTTGGCTTTAGTACTTTATACAATAGAAAAACATTTTCCCGGTAGTTTCAAAAATAGATCCATAACTGTGTATGTAAATACTTACTTGCTCATATAATTAAGCCTGAAGAAAATATGTGCACATGAACATACTTGTACTAAAATTGTAAAACTTTTTAGGTAGTTTAAAAGCTTATCCATCAAAATTCTCTTCAATGTGGTTAATGCTTTTATGATATAAAAAGAATATCAAGAGTTGATGATGTTTGAAGCAAGGTTTTGTATAGAGAGCAATTGAAGTGGGGTTTCTCATTGTTACGTTCATTTGGTTTAAGGTAGTTCCATTACTCTGCTCTTAGAAAATATTTTATTAAAATATTTGGGTGACCTTTGCGGATGCCAAGATAAGGATGAAAAAAAGACTAAGGGCAGATAAAGCTGCTGCAGGTGGGTGGAACATTCTTTCTAGTCGCTTTCATGTCATTTGGCAGGAAGTGAACTGGCCATCCCCTGTCTCGTCCCTTGCCTCCTTTCCTTTTGCCCTGACACAGACTGTAGCTGATGTTCTGTAAGGACCCGCTAGGGAGCTGAGGGGTCCCTCAGAAGGAGGGCTGCTTTGATTTCTGCTGAACCTACGAGTGACCCTGACCTCTTGGGTCATTTCTGTCTTTTAGGGGGAAGGTCACGTCTCTTTTCAAGGCTTCATAGTTCTGATGGTGTCTGGACGGGGAGAAGACACTGTCCCTGCACTCCTGACTGTGGGGTGCTTGGCCTCAAATACCAGTTCAGATTCCAACACACCCTATTGAAGAGGAAGCCTTACAAGTCTGAATGTTAGTTTGGGCAATGAGAATGAAAGCATTTTTCTTTTGTGCTTTACAGAATACCTCAAGGGAAGTGCCTTTAATACTGGAGCCCTAATAAAGAACATAGGAAAATTTGGTTTCTTTGATGAAGAAAAACCCAGATGCATACAACAGATTATATAAGTAACTCAGTCTCCTTAAATGCAGTTACTTCATCTATTTAATACATTGAGAATTGTTTGAAGATAAAGCAAGATGTAAGCAAAAATTGGAGAGAAAGGAAAACAGTAGTTTTTTTGTCATTACTGGTAGAGACACTAAGATATGAAAATTATTCCTGGGATGTCTATAATTCTTAATAAAACTCCAAAAACATCTATTAAAAATTTCAAACAAAGCAGAAGAGGAGAAGAAGTCCACTTTCCAGGGAATTCTCAGGGGCTGACATCTTAATGGGGTGTCACAGAGAAAACTGGTATGTCACTCAGATTGAGCTCTCCTACTTCTATTTTCTATAACTCTTTCTAAGAGCTGATATGGAAACTAACGAAGGGCTTCCCGTTTTCTTTTTCTGATGGTTCCCAGGTCAAGTCTCTGCTTCCCTCGGTTTCTTTTGGCCCTTCTCCTTCCTGTAGCCAACTAAGGGTATGAAGCCCTTTCTCTTCATTCCCATTTATAGGGAGGTAAGACCTCAGTTAGAAACCACACATTTCTCCCTTCTGACAGGATATGATCACTAGTAAGCTAAATCCTAAGGTTTAGTTTTAGACTTCAAGATCTGATGGCTTTGGAAGCTCCATTCTGGATATTTTGAATTTATTATGTATAGATACTTATATGTGTTCATACATATCGATTGAAGTCCATTTCTCTCCCTTAAATACTTCAGTGAATTTCAACATCCTGATATAAAGCCCAAGCTCTTAGTGTGCCTGGAATCTTCTACTCTCATTGGTTGTCTGGTTGACCCTTATTCTCTTTATGTGTTCAGCTCAACATACGTCATTTACAAGGAATGTTTCAATAACCAGGATGTGTGTACAGGTGCCTCATCTTTGCTCCTGTATTACTTAGCATATGATAATAAAGTAATTCACTGATTGATTGGTTCAGTAAATATTTATTCAGCACTTATTTTCATTGGCCTAGTATTATAAGCTCTACCAGGTCAAGGTGGCTTGCTATAAAACAGACTTTTTAATAAATGTTTATTAAAATAAAATGTATATATATTATTTTTAGTTTTAGAAAAAAGCTTAATTGGTTACTCATGAATGAAATTCCCATTATAGAGGTAATGTCATATGGTTAAAAAAGAAAGACCCCACTGGAGTTACAAGTAGAATAGTTATTGGTGGTGGCTGAGAGCCTAGATTTCAGAGTCAAATGACCTGTGTTTAAATCCTGTCTCTTCTGCTTGCTGGCTTTGTGACATCGGGTCCATCATCCCATCTCCTGCATCTCACATGTAAGATGGAAGTCACGACAATACCTGATCCACCAGGTTATTGAGAGCAGTAAGTAGGAAAGGTACAATTAAATGAGGTACAAGGGTATTATAAACTTCACAGTGTAGTTATTTTATTTATTTATTTATTTATTTATTTATTTATTTATTTATTTATTCAGATTTTTAATTTTCTCAATTTCACCCTTGATGGTTCTCCTCAAGCTTTAATGTATACATACAAAGCACTTGGGCATCTTGTTAAAATGTAGTTTCTGATTCGGTATGTCTGTGGGGCCTGAGAACCTGCCTTTCTAACAAGCTTCCAGGGATGCTGATGCCCTGCTCCACAGACCGCACTTTGGTCTAGTCTAGAGATGTGGTTCTAGCAAATGTTACTCTGCACCAGCATCAACTGGAAGGCTTTTGAAAACATGATTGCTGGGACCCACCTGCAGGTTCTGTATCAGTAGGTCTTGGATGGGGCCTGATCTGCATTTCTAACCAGTTCCTACATGATGCTAATGCTGCTAATCTGGGAATGCCCTACTTTGAGAATCACTGATTTATTACAGAAAACAGAAGACTGTTTTACTTGGAGAGTAAATTACTTTGCTATGTTACAGGAAACAGGAGTTGGAGATGTAAAACTTACGTAGATTCTGACTCTTAAATTTTAGTTCTGGTGCCTGAACAGATTTAGTACTATTTGAAAAAGAAAATTGGCACAAACCAGTCCCTTTGGCTTTGTATTTTCTAAGGCCTGCTACAGCTGTAGCAGTAATAATCTATCCCCAATCTGGGACCCCTGACAAGGATTGCTCTTAGAGCCAATGGGATTTTGGCTCTGGACCAGCTGTCCTCTGACACGAAGGAGCAAGAGAGGAAAATATTTTAGTAAGGTTCTCATTAGGCATTGTGAACACTGGCTCGTGTTTTGATAGCCTTTGCCATAATAAATAAGTACAGTAGGATAATGGATTCTCTTCCTGGACTTCATGGGACAGTTGGTGCACTTGAAGGACAGCATGAGTTATGTGGCTCTTCAAGGATTTACTCACAGCAAATCATTAACAAAGAGTGGGGAGTGGTCAAATCTGTCTCTAATTAAAGCAAAAATTAGAAATATACAACATTAAAATATACTGAACCGAATCATTGTATGTTTGTTGGTACTGTAGCTCTTTAGAGTAGAGAGGTTTTGCTTGCACATTCTAGATCAACTGTCTTCCTGTGTCCGCCTGGTACTATTAGGCCAATCAACCCCTTTAGTTTAAAGAAGAAAAATAAAATGCCCATGGAACAAAATCATACTTCCTTCTCCTGAAAATGGACCAGCTATGTATAGTTAGCATTTACTATTCCCTCTTCTGTACAGAATAGAGTGCTGTGTTCTGGGAGTGAGTTCACGAGTGGATTTTGTCCCCAAGATTTTTATAATCTTAAGAGAGATGAGGATCTTTGTAAATAATTACACTATAAGTAGAATGGAATAGCTGGTATATTAACCACACTACCAATGTGAGGAGGGAATGCAGAGGGATCCACGATAAATTCTGCTTGAGGAAGTTGGAGAAAGTTGAAGGAAGATGGAACATGTTGGGTGAAATTTTGAAACTTAAAAGCATTTCAGTAGACAGAGGCCTGTTAAGGGATTTACAGCAATATACTTACTGAACTTAGAAATGACGTTTGTACTTATTGCGCATTGCAAACACTGTAAGGGTTATTTTTCTCACCTCAGTGGTGCATAAGGCAGAAAAATATTAAGCAACCTTTACCAAAGGAAATGCGTGTTGCATTTTGTTACATGAAATGTCAGTGGTTGCTTAGATTTTTTTTTTAGATTTCTGTGCCCTGATTACCCTGAGAGCCAGTGAGGTTTTGGTTGTTGACCAGATGGCTGGTTTTTCTATTGGCCTCATCTGCACAACCCTCCAACAGAATTCAAAGCTGACTCTGGTTTAAAGGCTGGTAACTTCCTAAGACACACTTCAACTTTGGGGAACATAGGTGCAAATTTTTCTTTACATCTTTCAGAGTTCTATGGAATATTTATAGTAAGAAAGTTGGACAATTAGGAAAAAAACGAATGGCCTGTTTAAATATAAATTTGCACTTGATGGAAAATCAAACTCGTCTTTTTGCTCTGTGCCATCACACTTGCTGTGAGATCCCACTAGATTCATATTTTCTAGGCTATTCTGTTTCCTCAGCTGTTACATTTCCTCCCTATCAGCAGCCTTCAGGTATCATTTCTATATGCCAATCAAGACTCTGTAACCTATCACTTTGACCACTCTCATCATTTTATTGTACTTTTTTGGACACTTTGTCCTTCCATTGCCTTACCCACCAAATCCTCAACTCTAGACTAATCAAACATCTGACTAGACATCTTTATCCTTTTACTTTAAACTTGTGTTACTATGTTTAGGTATGTTTCTTGCAGTATACTGATACCTGCATTTTGTTTTTAATGTAATCCTGAGAATACCTATTTTAAATTGGGGGAGTTTGACTTGTTTATACTTATTGTAATTACTGACTTTTGGCGGCATCTTTATATCACTTTTATTGGAAATTTTATAATGCTTTTTCTCTTTTTCCCCATTTCTTTTTTTAGCATCAATTAATTTTTTCTCTAGAAGTATTTCTTTTCTCTCTATTAAAAGCTTACATTATTTTCTTATACTTTAGTGGTTACTAAATATTTATATATTTAACAGGTTTACTTTACAGGGCCTAACATTAATAAATATTTCTATTCTTCCTCAGAACAACACCAGCACTATAGAATATTTGAACTCTGACACCCTTGTCCCATACTTCATGTTATTGGAATCTAGAATTTTACACTTTTTTCTTTTTTAAGATTTTATTTACTTATTTTAGACAGAGGGAAAGGGAGGGAGAAAGAGAGAGAGAGAAACATCAATGTGTGGTTGCTTCTCACACACCCCCTAATGGAGACCTAACCTGGCCTGCAACCTAGGCATGTGCTCTCACTGGGAACGGAACCCAGAACACTTTGGTTTGCCGGCTGGCGCTCAATCCACTTAGCTACACCGGCCAGGGCTAGTTCCACATTTTTTGTAATTCCTTCAACTAGTCATTACTATTTTAATAAAATTTTAATTTTATATAAAATTTATATATTATAAAGACTATACCTCTGTTTAAAAGTATGTCAGTCATAACGAGGCAACTTGATGCATTTTCACAAAGGGATTAGCTCATGTAACAACCACCCAGATTAAGGACTAGAATATGATTAGCACCCCAGTAGCATCATTTATGCCCCTTCTCAGTCACCACCTTCCCCAAATAATCATTATCTTAACTTGATCATTATTGATTAGTTTGTCTGTTTTGAGCTGATATGAACTCCATGTTTGCCTTATTGCCCTCACTATTATTTTTGTAAGATTCACTCATGTTGATGGGTGTAGATTGCTTCTATTACTGTAAAATATTCTATTATATGAACATGTACCCTTATATATCCTTTCTTGTACTGATAGACAGACATTTAGGTTGTCTTTAGTTTGTTTATCACAAATGTCTAATGGGAGCATCTTTTTATGCATCTTTTGTATACCTTTTGTGGCACCTGCTTTTAGTCTACATTCATAGGTTCCCACTTCTTTTGGGTACAGCCAGGAGAGGAATTGCTGGGTTACAAGTGAGTTAATTTACTCTCACCAATAGTATACAAGCATGCTAGTTGCTCCACATTCTAACCAATACTGGTGGTGTTAGTCTTTAATTTTAGCCATCCTGGAGGCTGTGTAAGGGTATCTCATGGAT